TTTTGTTGGCCAAAGGTTCGACTCTGTTGATACAATAAGGTAACTCAAGTATTACTTCCTTTTCTATTTCAAAATACGAGTTTCAAACAGCAGCTTAAAATCTGGAGCCCAAAGAAGTAGCCTTACCAGAAAAAGTCGCACCAACAGCAACTGGGTGAAATATCATGCTAATAAGGTGTTTACACCCCAACCGTATTGGCTTCTGTTATCTTGAGACGAGGACGAATGACCTAAAAACAGGACGGCACAAGATTGTAAAAGCCAAACAATCAGGTTTATTTGGGGAGCAGGGGTCAAAATCAGACAGAGTTTGGTAACAAATCAAGGGTCAAATATTTACGAGCAGTCTCCAGTTTTCTGGACAGCGGACGATGGAAACAAACAAAGGCAGGCCGAGTTAAACCCTTCCACAGTTACTCAAGTCGAGCTGGAACGACTCGCAGTAAACACAGAGGAAGCAGATGAATAATGACTGACAGCAAGCAGGTGTAGAGCAGAGCAGTGAAGCAAATGTTACAACAAAGCAGAAGACAAAGCGTAACTGAACAATGCTGGAGTGAAATGATACATTTCTGCAAAATGCATGTCAATCTCAAGAACACAATGAAACCTGTCACACCACAATTCCATATAGTTTGAATTTGGATTGTGACATTTTATGCTATTTACAGTTTTCTGCCTATATTGTTTCAGAAATAAAGTTGAGATTTTCGTGTGTTGAGAAATACAGTGTTTGACTACAAACACAGAAATCCGATCTCGTGGTTTCAGATCAGTTTCGAAGTGTAACGGTGGACTGTTGCGTATCACATTCCATATTTGTCTTTAGGGAGAACTGCTGCGCTCCGTCATGACAACTTGGACTTCTTTCCTAGAAGGAGTTCTCGTTTTTCTAAGAACCCAGCATTTATTGCTCTGAGTTGAATTTTGGGAGTCCCATGAGTAAACTACAAGTAGTTCCTCCATTCCTATTCTCTTGTTGTGTGTTAACATTCATCGTTGATCATGAACTTGAACTTTAGCAGCTGGTGTTCAAGTTCGTAGTTAGAGGCTGTAAAAAGCCAAAGGAATGAGTTTACGGAGACTGTAATGGTTTTTTGATGTTTAACTTGTAGGTTGGAGTTCAACCTTTACACAGTAAAATAATGTGGTTTCACTTTATACACAGCTTTACAGAGTAAAGTCGCATCAAGTCATGCTGCCAACGTAAAACAATACATTCACAAACTAGGTCAAGTTGTTCCTATTAACAGATTTACACTGTATATATAGAAAATGAGACGTTCTCTATTTTAAAAATGAATTTCTAGAGCAAAGAAATTCATTTTTTTTCTGTTTTACACTATAAAATGGTTGAAGAAAAGCTCTGCATTAACTTTCTGACAAATCTGTAGTGTATAATAAATCTGACAAATTGACAATAACACAAATGTATTACCACAAAACATTTAAAACTCGAGTATAATATAAATGCTCCAGTATAAAATGAATTAAGACATTATCTATACATTTTTCATTATTTTGAACTTAATAATTACAAGTATTTTGAAAACTTCAATACTAAGTTGTATTTCAGTCAAAAATAATGATAATAATTTTAAATGACTTTGCAGTACAGTTTAAGCATTTCACCTGCGACTTTCACACTATTTGTATTCGCTGTCTAACATTATGTCCTTCAAATTCAAAATAAATGGCTCATGTAGTGTTTAAATTTTATTTGGATGGATTTTTTTTTTCTCCATTTCAGTTTGAATTGACAAGAAAGTGCAATATAGCACCAGCTCAAAATGGACAAAGTGGATAAAAGTAAAACTAAGAGCCTTGGTGCATCAGTTTTAAGTGACTTACTTTGATCCACGTGAAGAATTGCTACAGCTTCAGTTTTCTCAGATGTGACAAAAATGACTCCTGAAGAATGTTAATAAAGTGTGACTTCAAATATGCCTCTGTGTTTTAATCAAGGATCAATCATTTCAAGAAAATTTGCATTTGCTTCTTCCATCATCACAACATTCTTCTCTCTCTCTCTGAGCTTTCTGTCTCTCAACACTTTAAATCTAAATATCCATCCAGCAGAGCAGATGCATTACTGCCATGCAGAGGAGGAATGCATAGTGCCTCAAATGTAATGGCTTTCTTTGTGATTTTACATACATTGATATTGAAATGACTGTTTAATATACTCTAGTGCTGTTTTTTTTTTTTTTTCAGTTTTAAAGTTTGTGGTCCGTTTAAATCTCATTCTGAGCGAGGCGGATCCATATAAAGGAGACTATTGGGGTTACAGTCAATTGACTCTTTGACTTTTGTTGTACAAATACATCGCTATGGCTCCGAATTTTTTGTCTCAAGTTGTCTTCCAAGACCGGTGACATATAATCTTATCTCCATGTTTGCTGTGGGAGTGTTGAAAAGGTCTAAGATAACACAGAAAGTGCTTAAGTTTGAAAACATTACTCCTGCTTTTAGATATATATGTTTTTATCTCCACGTCAGAATTTATTGCGTTTTATTATTGGGGAAAAGACGTAAAACTTAATCAGCCGTTGCTAATTGGAACAAAGTCTTTTAGTTTTTTTTTTTTTTTTCATCTGTTATTTCTGGTAAGCTGTTTTGTGATAGTGGGCCTTCGTGTATTGTAATGACTGAGCTAACATATTATGCTACAGTCTGACCCGAGGCAACTCCTTGTCTACATAGAATAAAGCAAACGCTGATGACTGCCTGCATTAAAATGACTCACCACATATATTCATGACCCAAAAGTAATCACTACGTGGTTCACTTTATTTCCAAACCTCCCTATGTTTGACTTTGTTAATCAAATTAAAGGCAAGTATGTTAAAACTGGTAGCTTAGTGTTGTCTGTGAGCCAGTAAGAGGAACAAAATGCTGTTGTTGTTTTACCCATGGCCACAGTCACTAAATCGGTTCTTATGTTTATGTTAGAGGTGTATGCTGGTTTCTGTTCAAGCCTGCCGTAAACAAAATGTGTGCAGAAGGTTGGTGCACTCTGATTTCTGCTGAGTTATTAAAAGATGTGCCTGCCTCTGGCAGATTTCTAGGTCAGGAGAGCTCCTCCTGTTCAAAAATCCTCATTTAGTTCAAAAGTACATTTCCCTAGGTGGATATGCTTCATTTACTTTACATTGCATTTTTAATGATTCCACAGGAAGGCATTAAATTGAACTAGCAATAATAGACAAATCTCATATAAAACCGGAGTCTAGTGTTTTATAAGAATAGTTTAAAAAGTTAATTTAAACACCACTGCCATACATTTTTCATGTAGTTTGGGTGCAGATAAGTGAGTTTTTGATGTACTTGAATTTGAAAAGGTTTAAAAGTAAGATAAAAATTCACAGATGGCCAACTTCCTGGCGAGGCGTATCATATTTACTCACACTTTCAAGAAAAGATGAAGTATAAGGAGACTTTTTTTTTCCCATGATGCTCCATGGATTCTCAGAATGGGGCATTGCTGCAAATTTAACTATGTGATGCAGTCTGTTTGAAAATTGAAAATTTTTCACTAATCTGAATAATGAACTGATTGTGACAGCTTGATAACTCTCAAGTCAAATTGAAATATATGTAATTAACTTTGAATTGACATTGTGTTTCCTTTTATGAACTTTTTGAGTGTTTTGGAAGGAGCCTTGAAACCTTTGTTACAAACTGGCACCGTATAAATAAACTGAACTGAATGAAACTACTGACTCCAAGTGTGAAATTTGCATTTGCAGGCAGGATGTGGAAACTCTCACTACTTTACGCTTTCTAGATGTAATCCTTCATTTAAAAATATTGATGCTTTTTATCCTCATAGCAAGATTGTTGCGTTGCTAGCTTACTTCCTGTTTTTGGTTTGAATAAGGCTAAATAAGACAGGTAGCTAGAAAACTGTCCAGGTGAATGTTACTCATTCTGCCTGGTTTTAGGTGATGGCAGGGTTCAATTACAGGCAGGAGGCAGACTTCCTAATCAAAACTGGAATAAATGGCTTCCACATCATCTGTTTATCAGAGTTACAGCAAAGACCCGTTCAGATGCCACTGGAACTGGGTCAGTGTTGCTTTCTGGCTGCACAGCTGCTGACATAATCTAAAAAATGAACTACAAAGAGTAAAGAAGCTTTACGTTCTTTGATCTTCACAAAAAATAGAAAAAGACAAAACTATAAATGGACAATGTTTCGACATGGTGCCATGGTGTTTATTGAGGAATAGAAATGATACGAGTTCCCTGATCTTTGGACGTTCTACAATGGCTGTTAATAACTTTGGCTAAAAATGATGGAGAACCAACTATTATTTTTTAATAAAGATATAATAAATGCATTGTCTTAGCTATGTTTTCCTGCAATATTTGCCAATCGTACAAAGACTAAAAGTAACACTAATATGTTTTTAATTGTGTTTTTCTCAACATGCTTTTTAATGTCGTTTTTCATCCCACAAGAAGATCCATCCTTCCTGTGGAAAATTATATTTTTATCTTTACTTTGAATCCTGAAAATAGAAATAAAATGGGGGTTCTTTAAAAGTGACTCCAAATTTCCTAGAGTGGCTACGTATCTAAAATTACAAGTCGTCTTGTTATGTAACAGTCATGTGACGCTTGTGGCTCTAAAAAGCCAAAATAGCTCTTTAGGTTATAAAGGGTGCAGACACTCAGCTTAGCTGGTCAGATCTATTTATTTAAGGCAGAGAGGCCTATAAATAATCTAAAATCGCAAGTGACCACTAGGTCACTTGCGATAAGGTTCTTATTGTATGTTTTCTTTACGTATAACTTTGCTAATCAGTCTACAACATGCTAATATTTACAATTATATTATTTTTCTGTCATTTTACAGGATTCTGCATTCCTTCAGGGGAATCAAGAAGGTTTTGGGCAAGTAGTTTTTTACAATAGTGCGTTCCAACAAGGTCAGGACGGATGGGACTTCCAAGACTTCAGAAAGGGCCTAGTTGGCAGAGGGAGTGAGTATGGACAACCTTTCAGACTTCGGCGGCCCGTGTCCGTCCACGCTTAGGGAATGGGAGTGAGTATTAAACACACTAACATTGGTCTGTTGTCGTAGATTTGTACAGCTGCATGCCATCTCATTGTAGTGTATTGTTGGAATAATTTAGCCACCTTAAAAGGAGTCAAAATACAAACATCTCCCCAATGAGTTTTATCTGTATGAGACGTTTCTAAGGACATAAAAAGAAGCAAGTGTTACCGTTTTGAAACTGGTGGGAAATTAATTTCCGTACGATTTTGGTGATATGTATGGTCACTATCACATTTTCAGTTTTCAGGCAGAGGCCAACAGTTTGCTATTTAATAATCTCCTGGTATCCACTGGGCCTTTGGTAGAAAAACAGGCCCACAGCATCACTGATCTTTCATCGTACTTAACATTGGACTGTTTGTAGCTCGAAAAAAATCAATCTTAATTACTTTCAGATGAGACAAGTCCACCGGCTTGTGCTCTTTTTGATTTTGTGCATTGTGGGGTCGCATGAATTCATACGACATGCAGGATTTTTCCCTGAAAAAACTCGACACTCTAATCTGTGCAGAAGCCTGCTGCCTAAGTACATTTGATTCTTTAAATATAAGCAAAGCTATTATCCATCATCCTCACCATGCTTTTACATGGAAAGTATTCACAGCACTTCACGTGTTACACATGTTTTTGTGTAACACGCAAATTGTGTCAAATGAATCTCTTTGTTCAAAATTCAAACCACAAATGCCCCTTTATGACATTGTGTAATTTATTTATTTTTTTGAGAATGTTTTGCAAATTTATTTAAAAAAAAAAGTATTCACAGATAATACTTTGTTTATAAAAACTCAATGTTGGGCTTCATCAATTTGCAACAAAACAAAGTCCACATAGTCAATACGGGGTATTTGTAGGAGAAGTTTGATTTGATACAGTTTGAAATAAGGCTGTACTGTAGAAAGCCAAGCGCTGTAAATACGTTCTGGGTTAAATGTAAACAGCATGCATCAGATATGGCCGATCCGCATGTTTCTCTTTTCACATCAAGACTGGAAGACGAGATAATGTCTCCGTTCTGCGTCCACCAGCTGCTTTGTACTACATTACACTTGGTCCACAATCCAGCATTACCCCTTACAGTGCATTTTGCTTATGGCTTTTTAACTACTTCCTGATGTGGCTTTTTACTGGTGGGTCAACTGCAACCCACATTTTGTGCTGCAGTTAAACAGATTTTGTGCTGCAGCTGTGTGTAACGACCATGTGTAAATTATGGATTTTAAATTTTGCAGAGGTTTGCTGCATGTCTCCATAAACACTGAGCAGTCTTTTTTTTTTTTAAATCTACCACAGTGACCTGATTAAAGGTGAAGATTCCCAGGAGCTTGAACTGGGTTACCAGGTTATGCTAACAGAGTTATGGCAGACACTGTGGACATTTCACCATTTCTGCCCGACGCTAGTTTGACTTTGTCTGAAAGAGCTTTTTTCTTAAGACAGAAATGAATTATTGTGACACTCTTTGACACGTAGAAAGTGACATATGCATATTTACTCACGTCACTTTGTAAGACTGTAAATAATATCTAGGTAAATGTTATGCTTCTGCTTCACGGCCAGCTGGCACACTGTCACACATTTCCTGGAAAGTCAAGAAGAGCTGAGTCACTGTTGGGTTTTGACAATTACTTTATTTCTTGTTGCAGCATGTTAAACAGTCAAATGATTACTTCTTATTCTCAAACAATATATTTAATTGGCCCGTCCTTGTGCTTTCAGTACCAACAGCTGTGTGGAGGACTTAATGGATGAAGATGAGAAGGACAGGGCAAAAAGGTACTTTATCCTGTCTTACTGTTTCATCTGTTAGCATGAATGTGTCGTGATCGCCATTTTTATAGACAGGTACAACCTACATTGTCTTCGAATTAACAGCTCTCATGCGACATGAATTTTGGTTTTCAGTGACTTTGTGTTCGGAGGTGGTAGACAAGTTGAATTAGGGGCCATTTTACCGTTCAGTTACTTAAGCAAGGACTTTTCTGATAAGAAAAAGTTAAACATTCTTTCGGACACCTGAAAAAGCCAAATGGCTTGCCGACCGGGATAATCAAAACGCTTTGAAGCAAATTATCAACACAGCTGTACAAGCACATAGGGAAGAGAAGTTAAACATTACCTACAAAAGAAAACAATAAAGCTGAAGCTACTAGAAGTTGTTAAAATTAACTCACAAAACTGATTGTTTGACTTGTAATGCAAGATAAACATGCACACAGAATGGTGAATTTTAGGTTAATTCTGTTTAAGTACATGTATTTATGTTATATTCTTTTAACGACATAATTTTTTCTTTTTAAATACAAGAGCATCAAAGACCTGAGGAATGATCCCATGTTCTACATGTTACATTGTGTTTTATTCTACTGACATCACTAACAAAAACACTGAGAACTCATTAACTCTGTTCATTTTTTTGAACAATTAATTAACCATGATTAATTCCCAGCAACCCTGTCATTAATCAGAAAAAAAAATTACTTGTCAGCCCTAATTACATATCGTATTTTATTAAATTATAAATAAAATTTGAGTAAATGTCACATCATAAGTTCTGTGAAATATTTGTTCTATTTAAATAAATGTAATGAACTAGAGCATCAGCAAGCTGTTTCTTTCAACTAAATAGAAATTTGGTGCTTTTCCACTTCTACTACGTTGCACTTGTGCTGCCATTTTTTATTTTTTTTTTAATGTGTGCATTGCTCTGCAGAGCTTCTCGCAACAAATCTGAAAAGAAAAGAAGAGACCAGTTCAATGTGCTCATCAAGGAGCTATGCACCATGCTCCAGGGTCAAGGCCATCCGCGCAAGATGGACAAATCCACCATACTGCAGAGGACGATTGACTTTTTACAGAAACAGAAAGGTCTGCGCACATTCGAACATCTGTAGATCATCATTTCAGCCACTTAATCTCGATCACTGACCTTGCGTCGTCCTTTCAGACATCACTGCGCAGAACGAGATTTGTGACGTGAAGCAGGACTGGAAGCCCTCGTTCCTCAGCAATGAAGAGTTCACTCAGCTCATGTTGGAGGTAAACCTGAGCAGGATGCGTCCTTGAAGCAGATGATTTAGTCTGAATTCTGACTGATGTGAAATATTACTCTTGCAAATTCTCTTTATAGTGATAAATGAATGACACGATTGGCAAAATGATGTAGGAATCTGAGACTTTAATTAGTGATCATCTGATAAATGTAACACATTCACCTCTTTCAGGCCCTGGATGGCTTCCTTGTTGCATTAACGACAGATGGAAACATCATATATGTGTCTGACAGTGTGTCATCACTTATTGGCCACTTACCGGTAAGTCGGAGGAGTCGATAAATTAACCATTAATCATCTTTTCAGCTAATTTTGCCACAGTATCAATGGCTACTTAATTGGAAAAAGAAAATCTGTTATTTGTCACCAGTAACTGTTATTCACATTTGATCTTGTTTTGAGTTCATATTTTTGAATAAAAGTAAAAATTTATGGTCTTTTAATAAATTTTTCTTCTTACTATTAGGATATAATTAAACAAATACAGGTTTTGTCTGTTTTTCTTTGTTGAATGAAGATTAGCATTATGCTAATCACATTTCCTCAACAGATTTATGTAGAAACATACAAATAGGCCTGTCACAATAATCAATAAATCAATTAATTGCATGATAAGTTAAAGAAAAAAAAAAGCTCAATAATTTGCATTAGCATGAATTGTTGAGTCTTCTGTCTGGTGTTTTGGTTTCAACTGCCCCTGTTTTTGAAGGACATTTTTGTTGTTTTGTTTATTTATCTTGGATATTTAAAATATCCAAGATAAATGTGTTAAATGTTCACTACAATTTAAAGTTTAGAATCAGTTCTTGGATTCTTTTGCCATCGCCACGACATTAGTCGAAAATGGTCTCAAAACAACATTATCGTTTATCGCAATAACTGCTGGGACAATTTATCGTCTAACTAGGTTTGTTATTGTGACAGGCCCACAGACAGAGGAACAGGACCACACACGTGAGAGAAGGTCCTGCCAGCATGTAATGACTGACAAACGTCTGTCTCTTTTTCCACCAGTCAGATATGGTGGACCAAAATATCTTGAATTTCCTCCCGGAGCGCGAACACGGCGAGGTGTATAAGCTGCTATCATCCCACATGCTGATGACTGACCCCGTTGCTGCTGATTTCCTTGACAGTGAGTATCCTGCTGAGAGGCCTCGCTGCACGATCGGTGTCTGGGTCACCATGCTGGAGCATGGCGGAAGTACAAAGGTTAAACCTGTAGATGGTCTTTTATTTACGAGAAGCAAAAAATGTAACACGAGAGAGAGAAGCGCTCCACTCATTGCTGATCCTGTTGCTCTTTATTTTATTCTCACCTATTTGGGACATTGTTTAAACCACAAACTTGACACCTGGTTGCTGAGATCCAAAAGGTTTTCTCACATCAGCAGCAATTTTTTATTCAGCTCTTTGTACATTGAAGAAGCGACGGCTCTGGAGTCTGTGTTTTATTGCAATTCTAATTAGCGTGTATCTATGATTAGACTTTTAGCTAATAATAGGAGCTAGCTTAGTATCATAGTTAAGACTTTAAATCACTGTTATGTTAACACAGTAATCCAAAGCGGTGTGGCATGGGAGGCCAAAGACGCTGACCTTAATCCTGTGTTTCTGATGGGCTTTTTCTGACGAAGAGAGAGGGGGAATCGTCGGTGTCTCCGGCTGACATTAGAGGCCTTAATGGCCGCCTCCTAGCCTTGTCTGGAGCGATCGCCAACTCTGCTGAAGAGCCATCTGTATAAACAAGAGTCTGGCTTTGTAACTGCAGGAAAGCCTGATTTTTATCCACTTATAGTTGAGTTGAATCAGTGCAGCTGCAGAATTGTCAGAGAACCTAAACTAGTAGTGTTGTAAATCACCTACAGCTTAAAGTGAGCTTTCTCTGCTTTAAACCATGGACCTCTCTTTATAGAATAGTAAATATTAACAAAGCATTTGATCGATATAATGCACAGTAACAAAAATTATGAGTGTAAACTTAAAAAAAAAGCCATTTATCAATATTACAGCACAAGAGTGAAAAAAGCATGACAAATTCTTAAAAAAGTACTCACACTTATTGTCCCATTTTGAGATGCAACAAGTACAAACTTTGAATGTGTTTTAATAGGATGTTACGTGAATGCCCAACACAAAGTAGTGGAAAATTATGAAGTGAAAGGTTTTATTTTAATAAAAAAATAATAAAAAGTGTGGTCTGCAGAGTTTAAAAAGAGTAAGGGATGATTTTATGTAAATTCATGTAAATTCTAATGTGGAAAATTTGTCAATCTTTGCAGGTGAGACACATATTGAATTTTGCTGTCATCTAGCCAGGGGTAACATGGACCCCAAGGAGCCTCCTGTGTATGAATATGTCAAGTTTGTTGGAGATTTTAAGTTTCATAACCATGGTAAGAAAATTTCATTTAAAAAATACGCAAATAATCCACCTTATTTTAGCACGTTTTGAAAACAAAATGACATACTCCTTGCCACACAGTGCCTACATCTTCTTGTAACGGGCATGAACTGACGTTACCGAGAAGTCTGCAGTCGTCGCTGGAGGAGCAGGTCTGCCTCATAGCAACTGTACGATTAGTCACTCCACAGTTTCTGAAGGTAAGAGCAGTTTGAGGCCTAAAATACTGATTGTTTTTCATCTATCTGTTGTTAAACCTCCCAGAGAAATAACAAGCAGCATGTGTGTTAATAATGAGGCAGGGCCAAGGACATGGCACATTTTGGTCCTTAGTGACGCTGTTATGTCTGCACATTTGTTGCTCTGTTAGGGCTGAATATGACACATTGGTCTCATCTAATAACATCGCCCAAGGATGCTTCAGCGGCTAAGCGCTGATGTCGTAAGCCGAAGCTAAACGCAAAATTAGAAGTTTTCCAAAGTATGACTTTATAGCCTTAAAATTCACCCATCATTTTTGTTTCAACTGTACAAATTGAGTCCAGTCAACATTAAGAAGCATGCATATGATTCATTATTCATTTAATATATTCATGTTTAAAACAGTTAGATCTGTTAAACTGTGTTGAATGGCGTTAAATTGTGAAGAATTAGAACATGCTAGAGCTAACGTGATTTCCTTGTTGCAGAAAATACTCATAAAATCACAGAAGTCAACAAATGAATATATGTATATATAATATCGATTTGTTTGTGGATGAATAAAAATCAAATTTTTAATTTAGTTTAGCCCTTACGCTGTTAGTCGTAGTGGAAAAAAAGATTGTTTTGGCTGTTGCAGCTTCTTATATGATAGCTCCGCAGCTCTCCCTCAGATAAGCACGTCATTAAATCACTGGATGTTTCAACATTTAAAGCTCAGTATTTAGTTTATGAAGCAGGAGAATAAGTTGCGTTCATACACGATGAACTGGATCCACAACAAACATGGTGCTAGGCAAATGATCAACAAGTCATATGAAAACAAAGCTAAAGCTAATTTAGCGATTCCGCTGCAATAAACCACAGTAGAACAAATATGAGTTTGTTCTATATTCCTTTTGGCAAAAATGAAATTTATGTTACAAATAATACAGTATTTTAACTCAATATTTGTCAGGTTGTGAAACAAGAAATTCAGAAAAGTTTAAATGGAAAACAGATCTGTTTCATTTATTTCCTTTCCTTTCAGATCAATAACGCTTTCTGCTGTGCCGAAGCGTTATTTTTTATTTTATTTTATTTTTTAATTAAAATACAGTTCGTCACTACTTGACCGTCCGGCTTCATGCTTTCACCTTCAAATGTTTTTGACTTGTGGCAAACTTTTTGCCAGTCCTTGCTTTACATTTCCAATTTTAAAACTTGGCTCGGTTCTTTGTGCAGGATAAATATGGAAGTTCAAGGCCACATCTGTTTGGGATTAGTCAGAACATTCAACGTGTTTGACAGTGACGCACAAATATGGTCATGCAGTGATTTAGTGAGAACAAAACTGTGAGGCAGAGTTGCCAAATGCGTGAAGCTAGAGTAGCTCACACTGTCCTTTTTGGTGGTAACCTTCATTCAGTATCTGGAAACCACTGGACAGAAGGATCCAAAAACAAACAAAAAAGTACTGTAAGGAAAAATGTCTGACTCTGCTACTGTACTCTTGTTCAGGATTTGTGTAACGTGGATGATCCTTGTGACGAATTCACGTCCAGACACAGCCTTGAATGGAAGTTCCTGTTTTTAGATCACAGGTGAGAAACTGAAATCGTCATATTTATTCAAGATTATTTTACCCCCAGATTAAGGTAATCTCACATGTTTATCATCACCTTTGTGTTTCAGAGCATCACCAATCATAGGCTACTTACCATTTGAGGTTCTTGGGACTTCGGGTTATGATTACTACCATGTGGATGACTTGGAGCTCATAGCCCAGTGTCACAAGCAATGTAAGAAACCCAGCGTTGCCTCTTTATTACAAATCGTCATCACTGGTTGACTAATAAAATAAAACTAGGAACTTGTGAGCGCAGCATTGACAGCAGCTTTTATTTTCCCTTTATCTTCTAGTAATGCAGTTTGGAAAGGGTAAATCCTGCTATTATCGCTTCCTGACCAAGGGACAGCAGTGGATTTGGCTGCAGACTCATTACTACATTACTTACCACCAGTGGAACTCCAAACCCGAGTTCATTGTCTGCACTCACACCGTTGTCAGGTAATCCTGAGGGTTTTCTTTTGTCTAGCATCATGTGAGATGTATCTGTTGGTAGAGAATCCATAGATAGGAGTGGGAATGAAACTTGTCACACGAATGTGTCTCGTTTAGTTACGCGGAAGTGCGAGCTGAATGGAGGAGAGCTTTTGGTCTGGAGGAGCTTTCGCCACCTGAGATAGCGCCATCCTCTGTGAAGGTAAGAGTTCTGCATAAGCAGAAATGTCTCTAGGTTTGAAACAATTCATTGGATTAATCGTGATTAATCGATTATTGAAATAATCATCAACTAAGTTAGTAATCGATTAATCGTTAACTGGAGTATTCAGACTCAAAAAAGGCCATTTACTGGAAAAAAACAACATATTGAGTGTAGTAATATGTACAAAAATACATGAATTGCACAAAACATTATTTAAGATGAAAAAACCTTTGTTTATGAATATGTTTTAGCACAAATTCCTCAGGTTGCTTACTTTTGGATTTAACCTGCTCAGATTTACCAAAGGAATATTATGTTACTGCTTTTTGCACTCTTAATTAAAAAGGGAGTTGAATTATTTATTTATATGCATCTTCTAATGAAAAATCTGTAGGCTGTGCAATTTTGTTTACCCAGTTAATTGGTTAATTGTCAGAATAATCCACAGATTAATTGATTACAAGAATAATTCTTAAGAAGCCCTAAAATTTACTCTTAACTATCAAAAATTTTCACATTTTGACATGTTGTAGCGGCAAATTTCAGTGTATTTTATTGTAATTGTAAACTGGACGGTGAATGTTGTGTTTAAATTTGATCGAGAATTAAAGCAGATTTCATTCCATCATATCAAAATGGCCACCCACCGAGCAGCCAGCAGTCAATACGAGGAGAGCGCTAATCAGAGAAGTGGCTGAGAAATCTGTGGTAGTTGTGGAGGAGCTACCGGTGTTGTCTGCTCAGGTGGGAGAATGCGTTGATGGGTCACCTGTTGGGCCTGATTTATGGCTGCCGTGTCAGTCCACACAAAAGGCGTCTCACCGCAGGCTGGCACACTCCCTGTCGAGGATGGGCATTTCCTGTCATTTGCCCAGTCGTGCGCGTCCTCGTTTTGGCTCGCCAAACAGGAAGAGCAGCCTGGTAGAATTTGAAACCGCATTAGGTTTAACCTAAACAAAGCTAAAGGTTTGTTGCGAAATATGACATACATTTTACAAACAGGTTGTAAAAGTAACATTCACCAGGTCGGACTAGGCAGATAGTGGTGTGTATTGTTGAAAATGGTAATTTTGCTTGCCAGCGCGTTGGAGCAGCTTCTTTCCATCTCCCAGTGGCCGCTTTGCATGGCTTTGTTTCACACGAATGTTGTGTTAACTGCTAAGAGGGAGTGGTGCCATCCTCTTTTGAATTTCAATGCGAAAAGTCCTCAACACAAATCCCCACTGTGAAACATGGTGAAGGCAGCATCATGCTGTTGGGATTTTGTTTTTCTTTTTGTCAGCAAAGACAGGGGATTAGGTCAGATTTGATGGGAAAATGAATGAAACTGGTACGGAGGTTCACTTCCCTGCACCACTGAGCCCAGAATAGAGTAAAATATACTTTGTTGATCCCCGAGAGGAAATTGCTTATTTGTCACAAATGCGAAGTGATATAAATTTATTAAAAATACATGCAAACATAGTTAGATCATGTTAGAGCCAAATATGAGACAAAATCTAGCTCTGACTCAAACACTGAATTTTTTAAAAATCGCTATTCATTAACTATTTTGCAAAGGTGAAAGGTCAAACCGTTCAGTCTCTAGAGGTCTAAAGCTGGTAGATAAAACTCAAAAGACTTACAGCTCTATTTGTAGCTAAAGGTGTTCATATTACGTGTTATATTAACTCAGGAAAGCTGAATGCAAATGCACAATACGCCACACAAAGTCATGATTCTGTGTCGCTTTAAAATTATGCTGTGCTTAATTTTATAACGTAAAATCCAATAAAGTTCGTACATATATCATGACATAATGTAAAATAGGTTCAAAGGGCATGAATACTGTTTTTTTTTCTCCCCCCAGGCCCAGGAGTTGTACTTGGACATCTGCTCCACCCTGGACGCGACGAGGGACAGAAACAGCGGCGCACGTTCAGTGTCCTCCCATAGCTCTCGGAAATCCTCCCACACCGCCCTGTCGGACTCTTTGTGTGAGTCATCCTCTTCTCTCTAAACTGCCAAGTCACTTTGAGGCAGGTTTCCATGTAAAAAAACAAAACAAAAAAAAAACACTGTTCTTGTGTTTGTGCTTGTCACTTTGAGCAAAGCTTTATAGACATTTTCTTTATTTTCTCAGCATAGAAATCACAGGTCGTTTAGTTTTTTTTGTTTGTTTTTTTTTTTTTAGTTTTTGTGAGAATTCCCCAGTGGATGTTTTGTTATGGAATCTTAAGAAACTTTGTAATCAGCGGTAAAACTCCTGAAACGAAGCAGACATGGCGTCATCGCAACACCTCCTTATACGTGTGGGTGATGATGCATCTCTGATGAAATGTTTCCAAACCCCAGGGTTTCTGTCTGCTGTCCCACCAGCTATGTAACGCACTAAATACTTCCACCTGCATATTCATGAAGACAGTGCAGCAGCTGGGGCTTTTTCATAGCAGTATCTGTTTATAAAAAGTGTGTAAAGCTTCCCTGAAAAACACATTCACACAGTGGTGGACTTATTTAGAAAACAGCCTCTGTCAGAACTATGAGTTGCAGATATTTTTCTTGCTCAGCCTCGGTTTGTGTGGGCTGTAATAAAAAAACAGTGTGTGGATTTATGTCAGAAAAGGCCTCTGAATCAGAAGCTGTTGTACAACCACAGATGGATTATATCCCTTCTTTTATCTTAACTTCAAGAAAACAATCCTCGCCCTTTGAAAGAGGAGAGAATATTTTGTTTTACTTTGGTTTGCGTTTTTTAAACCCTGCGTTCAGATAACGAAATCTAGACAGTAAAAGCGTTACCATCGCATTGTCTGTGTTTGAAACCCCTTCTAAAGGTAATAATGACCAGAATAGTTTGATTTCCAGTGTTCGTCTTGATGGAATATTTCAGTACATATTTTTGTTTCCGCCTATAAAGTTGTTCAATTTGGCAGGATATCTCGGCAAAACCCACATACTCAAATCCACAAATTCATTTTTCTCGCAAACGTGGCACCACTTGAAAGGAAATTTATAATCTTTTCATCAGTGTAAGATTTGCCAAGAATCTTTCTTGTAGCAAATAAATAGTCAAATACAAATTTCTTTTAACTTTTATTCTTACTTTGTGTAATTTTGATTAAGTTTTGATTAGTCATTATTGGAAGTCCAAAATGACTTTGGACTGAACTGTACATTTGGCCAAAATATCAAAAAAATGCAAGAAAGTGAAGGATTTGTGTGTTTTTTTTATTGTAAGTCTTAATTCACTGTCATTAAATTAAGCAAACAAAACATTTTGTAAATGTGCTGGGCAGACATTTATAACAATGATCAAATTATCAATCATTGCTCCCTTTCTCTTTTTACTAGGACTTCTCTCTCTTAACTGTTGAGCAACATATAATTTATGCAGACTGATCATATGTTGTCTTAAACCTATTCTGCTTTACGTTTTTACTGCATTCGCCTCAGTTTTACTCATCGGTTGCCAGGGAAACGCTGTCCTAACAGAGTCAATGCTCAGTCTGTGTGTCTAAAAGTGAGCCGTCTCCTTTGCAGCAGCAAACTCCTACACAGAGGCCTGCACACAATCATGGCCGTCAGCCTCCATTGGACCAGAGAAGACACCTGCCAGACTCCAGCCCAGTGGGTCAAAGGTCAGCTTATTCCAAACAAGTTCATGTTAAAAAAAATTCTCGCTGCCTGAAGAGATAGAATCAGTCGTGTCTATTTTTGTTTTTCCCCAATGTAGAATTTGGCTCAAAGACAAAATTCCTTTGACCTTGTTCCCCAAATGAGCCTCTCCCTTTCTCCAACCTGCAGCAAGCACTCCACCATGGTCAGTGTTTAGACTTCCTCTCCTGCCTGTTGCTCTCCTTCTGCTCTGCTTGTGTACAGTATCTCGCTGTTATGACTGCCGCTGCAATTTGGGTCTGTTTCATCCGCTCCGCTCTCATGTACACTGACGCTTGGCCTGGTTATAAGACTGCGATTAGAAAAAGGACATCAGGAGAAGGCTAAGAAAAATAAAGAGCATTACATCTTCATTTTGCAATTGGACTACAGACTGGTTGCAAGGTTTCCCCCAGAAAACTTGCTAAGCCTGGTGGTTGGGTGCCAGGGCAGTCATTCGTCCAGCGGCCCGTCGTGTTTTTGAGTTAAAAAATGTTTAAAGTTTACAGGAAATCCGAAAATATCACTTGATAATTATGTGTTGTTGAAAGATTGGAAGATTAATACCAGAACACCAGCTATTAAGTCTTAAAAACTAACATTTTAATAAGACTTAAATAAGTAAGCAATGCTTAGCCTGGTGGGGCCACAAGTAAAGCCTGGTGGCCCGCCAGACTTATAATACACTGGAGGAAACCCTGGGCTGTGTGTTTCTAGAAGAGCCGTACAATTCTTGGATTGCTTTTCCTCGTTATAATTAACTACAGCGACACTTGGGGAATTTTTCTGTCTCAAATAAATGAACTGAAACTGAAGCAGGAAGGCCTTTCTGTGCTCAGCTCACATGTTTTCCCTGGTCTGTGTTGTCTTCATCTGCTGATTTCTGATGGTGCTTGAGCTGAATATGTGTCTCAAGTTAATCAGCGATTTCAAGTTAAGTGTGTGTGTGTGTGTGTGTGTGTGTGTGTGTGTGTGTGTGTGTGTTAAATGTAAACAGTATGTTAAATGTAAACAGTATAAAGAGGTTACAGAAAATAAATAGGTATAAATCAAGTGTAACACTAATTTTCTCCCATCTGTTTCCATGTTTCTTCTCTACAGCAGCAGCAGCAGCAGCAGCAGCAGCAGCAGCAGCAGCAGCAGCAGCAGCAGTCCTCTGTATATCAGCTGCAGCAGCCTCAGCTCGGCGTAATGAACCAGCTGAAGGAACAACTGGAGGAGAGGACGCGCATTCTGCAGGCCGACATCAAGACGCAGCAGCAGGAGCTGCATGACATTAAGGAGAAGCTCCATCTTGCTAATCTACAGGTAGCAGCCACTCGAAAGACGCCAAGTAATGACATCGGCTTTTCCGGAAAAACATATTCTCTACAGTACAAAAAGCACAGACTTTGAGGAAAGGAATGATGGACATTTGTCTAATTAGAGCCTTGGATTAAGAAAAACATTTGAAGCTTCATATAAGAAAGAAAATCAGCTTCTGACCAAATCCTCAGAAGTAAAGGTAGCTTGTCTCCCTCTAGAGGCAAATGCTAGCTATAGCAGAGCCCAGATTGAGTTTCTTTGTTGTATCAAAAGCCAGAAGTGCCAGAGTTTAATACATAATTGTTAAATATTTATATATTTAATGACTTAGACCCCTATATTTCTGCATATGCAACTTTATGACCCTATTTTAATTGTTTTTTTTAGAGGTATACATATTTTTCTACAATAACATGCAGGATATAAACCAACTCTTTTCAGTAAGTACATTCATATTTGTTTTGTGTGTGTTAGATGTTGTTACAGCAGCCTATCCACAATGACTTCAACCAGGCCCAACAGCAGCAGCAGCAGCAGCAGGGACCAGGAAGGCCAGCACAACAGAACCAGAACCAGTCCCAGTCCAGTGTCATCAGGCAACTCTCTGGCCAGCCAAAACCAGCAGCCTGCGGTTCTCACAGTTCATCTCCGCTCTCTTTGAGAGAAAACACTTCACCGTCTGCACAGGTTGAATACAGATTGCAGATTTGAAATAAGATAATTTTCAATGCTAAAGTCCAGCAAGTGGAAGCTAAGGATGTCAGCTTGACTTAATTTATAAAACATTTATAGAAAGAGAGAGAGGCAGCGCTAAACAGATGATAAACAGAAATATTTTAAATTGTTTAGAGAGGTGGCATTTTTAATATATCTTGTTTCATGTTACATTAGCGTTTAGCATAATTAGCATTGCTAGCAACTTATGTTAATGGCTCAAATTAACCTGTTCACGTTAGCCATAGCTTCATAATTTCACCGACATGGCTGTCTTTCCATATAAAGTCCATATTGAAGGATTTTGGACGATTTCAGAACAAAATAAACACAACTTAGCTCTGGCATTCACTCACCGCTAAGCTAACTGCAACATTACAAGCATTTGGCTGAAAATGTCATGCACTAGCTAATAGCATTTAGCGCAACATATAATGATGGAGTGGAGAATATTAAGAGAGGGATAAACAGATGTTAACTTATTCATAAACACAGAAAAGCATTTTGCTTGATTCATTCAGAATATGAACATCAACAGGTTTTTGTTGCGTTTTTCATTTTTATTAAGATAATTTTTTATAAATTTACAAAGCAGTGCTTTTAGAGTTTTTTTTTGGTTTTTTTTAAGGTAAATTAAATGTTAAACGATTACTCTTTATGAATATTGTTTTGCCATTAGCGGCCATTATTGAACAGTGATTTGACAGGAATTAGAGTGGAGAGAAGACTTGCTGCAAATGGCCTCAGACCAGTGAATTATAAGTTTTGTTTGTAATTTGACAACCTGAATTTTCAAAATGATTAATGTTGATTATGTTGTTCCAGACGATTCATTTGGGTGGTAATGAAAAACAAATCAAACCTATTTTTATTTGTTCAGAAGTTGTTTGTTATGAAATGTCAGCGTCTCTCGGGAGCTTATCGTGCGTCTCCGTCTCCGCGCTGCAGGTTCAGCAGCGGGCTCCTCAGAGCAGACAGAGCCAGTCGGTGAGTTTGCCGATGCAGACAAACACGAGCCTGACGACGCCCTTCTACAGCAACCCCATGATGTTCTCCCAGACCAACACGAGGCCTCAGCAGGACACAAACCAAAGACAGACGGAGAGCCAGTTCAGTCACGACGGACAATTACGGTGAGAAGCCTGAGAAAAAAAAAAAGAATTTGTCTGCCGTTTTATGCAGCAGACGTGGTTTTTACGTCACAAACCGTCTCTCCTGCAGAATGCTTCTCAACCAGTCGATGCAGACCATGGTTCCGACCAGCAGCGTCACTTCCCAGCCCTCTCAGTGCAACATGGGCATCTCCCAAACTCTGTAAGCGGCCACGCTGCGACACTTGGCTCATTTATTGGGTTTATCGTGATACTCCGTCTGACCTCCTCACTGGTCTCCTTACAGATACAGCTTGGAGCAGCCGATCACCTCTTTCACCATGCAACAGGTCAACTGCAACGCCGTGCTGGTGCCCTCCCCCGTTTTCACCTCCCCCATAATGATCCCACACAACTCCTTCATCACGCATCAGGCCCAGTCAACCTACCACAGCCAGCCTCAGGCCTCGCAGCACTCCGTGCAGCTCCAGCAGCCCCAGCAGTTCTTTCAGGTACACAGCAGCAGCAAAAGCGATCAAAGCCTTCTTCTCTGAAACTGAAAAGACATCTGACAGGTTATAGGTTATGTTTGAATATGCAGATATTGTGTATTACTCATTTCATGAACGCAATAGTCGTTTTATTTTTAGATCCATTTTTAAAAATCTTTTTTTGTCGGTTTATCCCAGTGGTCCTGAAGGCCACATTAACCTCTCAGCTGCCCAGCAGCCTCTCGCGTTTTCTCAAAGATTATATAGATATAAGCTGATCAAATGGCGGCACACAACTCCAGGAATTTTGACTGCTGAATCACAACATAGTGGCAAATATTCACAACAAATGTTGTCTCAAGACACTTCATAAAAAAATGTGAAAATAACACCCTTGCTATGACATTTCAGACAGCCAATCACAGAGGTGATATTGTTCTCTTGTCTCCCTGGCAACGGAGCAGAATAAATTCTGATTGGCTGCTTTTAAATGACACTGGAAGTTGGAGAAGTGGATTTATATCCCTTTAAAAATGAGACATGAAAGTAATACAGATGTAAATCCATTATTTTATCTGAATAAATTAGTTTTAGATGTAAATACCTTTAAATCCCTTTGCACTACTTCTGAAACATTAAAATCCCAATTCATAGCTCGCTCAGGTTTGTGGTTGTAACTTTACAAAATGTTGACCTTTGGTAATACTTCTGTAAGATTATGTGTCTAGTTAGCGCTACATTTCCATAAAAGGTTAAATTTCACTAACCAAATTGAACAGAGACCTTTTTCAAACCTTTTTGTTTCCACAGATGACCCAAGGACTTGTACATGGTGGATCTACTCCAGCTTTCCTACACGCCACTAACGTCCCACAGCAAAGCACCATGGGATACATTCAGCAGCAGCCACAAACACAGCAGCTGCCACTTGCGCAGCAGCAGCAGCAGCAGCAACAACAACCACAGCAGCAGCAGCAGCAGCAACAGCAACAGCAAAGGCAGTACCAACATTCCCAAAACCAGCCAGGCAGTGTTTCAGACTTCAGGAACATGCTAACACGGTAGCACCGAGGACTTCGTCTAAACTCTGAGGATCTGCCTCTCTGACGCCGCCCTGCGGGTGGCAGCACGCCGTCGAGCCTCCTAATTCACTGGGGACGGGGCGGGGAGGGATCCAGCCTGCACGTCGTCATAGTGACACCACAAGTAGAGGCTGCGCTGACCCGACGGCGCCCGCCGGATCCGAGGACAATCTCGAGGCCGCGTCGCGCTCAGGAGGACGGCTGCAACGAGTGGATCATCAAAGATGTTTGAAAAAAAAAAAAAACTGAAACAAACAAACAAACAAAAAAACAAAAACTATTTTAGACCGACAAGTGGAGGTTTTCTTCTAGCAAAGTTCTCATATAAGTGTTTGCACTTTGGTACCCCTATCTCCCCGGAAGTAGAATATTTATTTATTTTTTACCTAAGATCAAACGTTCTGTTCTGTTCCTGATCTCCGGCTCAGCTCCCCTCCTGTGGCATGACGCTAATGCTAAGCTACTCGTGACACTTTGTTTCCAGTGAAGATGGAGAGTCGGAGGTGAGCCCTGTTATCCCCACTCGCCACAGTTGGAACCACAATTTAGGCACGTCGAGTCACTACAGCAGAACTTTACACGACAAAACAACAAGTGCGACGACCACTTTAACAAAAGGCAGGTGTGACGTAACACACACTACAGCTGGGAGCTGGAGGTCTATCTAGATTTTTAAAGCCTCAATCCGGGACTGAAGGAGCGAGGGGTGCCGTAGCCGTCCCACCGCAGACCTCTGCAGGCTGAAGCGGTCGCCGCGCAGCACCGGGTGTCGGCGATGAGCTGGGAGGCGGGGAGGACGAATTGTGCCTTCTAACGTGATAACGTTCATGTTGTGGTTCGATTGGTTGCGTCTGATTATGGCTTTAAAAATCCAGCTCAGGTCCATTTGGAATATAAAAGGTATATTTTCGTAAGAGCATAATTTGTTATTAAAACATAAGACATCCAGATTTTCTAATTAATAGATTGCCTATATATATGTATATATATACGTAGTAATTTTTGTGACCTTTATGTTTGCAGTAAGTCCTTACTTTCTGAGCAGAGTCTGTTTCAGAAAGAGTCCTTTTTGAAATCATTACACAACAAAAACTACCAATTGGAAATACAAGCTGGTCTTACACACAGACGTTCTGACAGAAATCGCTCCGGTATGCTCAGAGGTACATGCCGGATCTTCTGCTCGGTCCATTTCAGAAAAGCCTCATGCACGCGAGAAAAGCGTAAATTCATGTTCCCAACAGTCCAATGAGCTGCTTTACGAATGGAAACCTGCACACCGCCCCGGTAAAGATGCGTAAAAAGCCTTCATATAACTTCGTTTGTTTCAGCAACACAGCATTAAGTAAACCCCGCCTTTAATTTGATTCATGTTGTAAAAGAAAGGTAAAAGAAATTCTGTGGCATCTTGGGATCACCAAGTCTCCGTGGCAACCTTTAGATGCCATGCAAAAAGCTGCCACACAAACTCTACATGTGTGGAGTTTGCAAAAAGCTGCTGGGACTTAAACTGAAGCGCATGTGGTTCGGGTCAGACCCGACCACTCGTTAAACTTTGGTCGTCCGTGGACAACTTTTCATTTTAGTTGGTCTTGGTTAGCCACTTTAACTTCAACTACCTTTCAGCCACATCTCGACATCTGGAGTATATATACAAACTGTTTTTGTTTCTCCGCTCTTCCCCTTTTCATCCACCGTAACCACTTGGGTTAGGTTTAAAACAAGAGACATAGATTGGAGAAAGAGTTTTGCCCACTGTTTAGTATAGTGGAGGATCAGTGATGCTGTGGGCCCGCCCTTGTTGGGAATCTGGGTTAGCCCAGCCTGCATGGCATTTTGAATCCTTTGAAATATCAGGACATGTGGTGTAAAAATAAAAGCATGTTGATTCTGGTGTTGATTTAGCAAACTGAAGTTTAGTGCGAGGCGATGCTTCTGCAGCAAAAGATGAATTTATTTTAGGGCTTTTTACACATCTTACAACAGGGGTGCGAGTCCAACCTGTTTTGTGACGGCTTGTTTGAATATTTCAGAAGACTCCAAATTTCCAACGCCAACCAGGTGAGCTGAGTTTCAGATTGTTGCCTGCAATGGCTTCATTCACTCTAAAAATTTTTTACCATTCTGCATTGAGAATTTATAGAGCCACTTCCATCTGAAAGACACTACTTTACGCTAGCATGGTGAAAGAACACGTTTCGGATTCTGTGGAGCTACTTATCGGCTGTAGCAGCTGCTCTCCTTTGTCTCAATCAGCTTGGAGCAGACGAGCGTGTGCAGGAGCCATTGTTTTGATTGTCTCCGTTTTGTGGATAATACAGAGACGACCGTTAACAGAGGATTGGAGTGTGTTGCTGCAGTCTGTCCTGGAAGGGGAAGAGAAAAAAAAAAAAAAAAAAAACCCCCATTAAAACATCACAATTACATCACCGTACAAAGACAATCAGCAGAATATACTGTATTTAAACTGCCTGTACCACAGTGTGACTTCACAATCTAACAAAGATTTTAAATCCTATAACGTAATTCCCCCAGACCCCAAACTCCTCTTCTGGATTTTAATTGCACATGTTGTTGCTACACTTTATAGAAAGCAGCACGGTGGGGGGGCGGGGTGCTTGGCCCGTCCAGCGCCGGAGCTGCCCACGTTGCACGACAAGACGTAGCGAACTCAGCATGTACGTTCAGTGCCGTTTTTACACTTTTTTATGTGCAATGTCGATTTAAAAAAAAGAGAGAGGGAGAGAGAGAGACAGAGAGAAAAAGAATGTTAATTTATACTGTTGGAAATGTTTCCAATCAGATGTACATAGAGGTGTATAATAAGCAGTTGTTACCATGTAATTTATACGGAAGTATTTTTTTAAATGGAAATGTCCTAACATTCCTTTAGCAGTATTTTTTTTTTTTTTTAAGTTTGAGACGCGTCCTCTGAAGAGTAGGATAACACAGGACTTTTATCTGCATGGGAATGTGGTGCGCAGGGCCGGAGGCTCCCAAAGAGACTGAACTGAAGGGTCCGATAGTCACCTTGAGGAAGAGATTAAACAAACAGAAAAAAGATCTGAATTTTTATCACGCGGATTGTAGCGAATTCACCTAACAAAGGTACGAAAAGAAGAAAACGAAGTGCAATTGTGTAAACGTCATGACGTTAGGTTGTTGTTTGAAGCGGTTTCGTTCATGACCGATCCGACGTGTGTCTGCTCATAAAGGTCCAGCTTTACAGGTGCCATGGATGTCTGTGTTTCTGTTTTCACGGAAATGTCGCATCATGCAGGTGCGTGACACTGATATCGCTAAATAAAATTAATCATTTCAGTGACCTAATTCAAAAAGCTGTGCGGGTTCATTGCTCATATAGCAATCAGAAAAATGTATTTTATTGCACAGAAATGCTCTGCTGATTTGCCAGATGTCCAGCAGCTTGTCCCTGACGTGTGAGCCACTAAACGTATATATATAGAAGTATAGATATCAAGAGAAAGTTTAGTGGAAGGAAAAAGTGTGGTAATTTCTTAAGCCACTCAAAATAAAATAAAAATGTATTATTGATCCTATTATTATTATTATTGAAGTTTTCTGAGAAGGCGAATTTTGTGTTTTTTATTAACTAAGGACCCAAGATAACAAAAATTGCAGAAATATTTGCTTGAAATGTATGAGTTTAACTTCCTAAATTTAATAGCTGAATAAAGTAAAGTAACAATTTTAACATGCACCTGTAAATCTGTGACGACGTAAAAGGACGATCTTGCAGAATATCAGCCTTTCTGGCAGGAGACCTGGTTGTTTTTCCATTCAAACACATCATTCAGAGAGAGTAGACAAAGTTCCCCTTATCATTTTGTTTGCCTTGCTGTGTTGATCGAGAGCAAGTCCGTTCGGCATCCTCAGCCACGCCGAGTCAGAATCACTCGGGTTCGGACGCGAGTTAATCTCGAGAGCTTGATGAAGGGTGTAAATAATCTGGTCTGTCCGTTTTCGTAGTCAAGTCGCTCTCTGTGACGACGATTGCCGCACCTCTTCTCTTTCTTTTTGGCTTCCCTTCATTACGTTTTGAATGGTGTTCATCACGGGGATTTCTTTTTTAATGTACGTCAGTTTGATCACATTTAACTTGTACTTTTTTTTTTTCCTGATTTGTAACATACTGACTGGCTCCTCAGATGTGAGCGTGGGCAGTCAGATCCGATCCTCTCTGTGTAAGAGTTGCCAGGATATGAACAAAAAACCCTGGTATCTAGTCAATTCTGCAGTTTCAGTGCAGAAACAAATATATTATAAATATATATATATATATAAATATATATATACATATTGTATTATAGAATGTGGAAAAAAAAACTTTAGGCTACATAGTTGTTTATTTTATATGTCATATAGATTACATATATGTATGTTATGATTTTAAAATTAAAGTAATTTTATAACAGATTATGAGATGTCTCCGTTTTTTGTCGTTTTCTCGAAATATTTACTGTAAAATAAGGATTCAAATGTACTTTACATATATTTTTATAAAGTGTATTCAGTAATATACATCAGCCCAGAAATTGTAAAAGATTTTAAAAAAATCTTAGAGACAAAAACAAGACTGTTGTGTTTTTGGTTTTGCCTGTCGCTATGGTAACGCCTCCATAGCGTTTTGCAAGGGGTGTTTTCTAAAACTAAAAGCCCTTACAAAATTTCATCAATCTTATTTAGGTGTGTTTCTACAAACCTTGCTGAAGACTCCTCAAATCCCTTAAACAGAACCTTTCTGACAACAGGAAGTAGGCTCAAAGATCCCAAAAGCAACACATCCTGCTCTACTAAAGGAATTATGAAAGCAAGTCATTAAGAGCTACTAATATTTGAAATAAAAGACAGCATTTTCCATGCATTCAAGTATTTTAATCGTAAAATATACAATTTACATTACGGTCTTTTCTGTCAAAAATAAATGTACATGATTGACGATGATTATAAGAAGCTGCCCTTTTTTTTTCTAGTCGAGTGTGACATCCATCACTCTGTACACCTTGTTGATGAGGACTTCAACTTTATCTCCTCCCAGCTGACACAGCTCCAAAACACACACCACGTGTGTGTTCTCCAGCCCCCGGGCGGTTGCCAAGATCTCCTCTGCAAGAAGGCAACCAAACATTAAAAAAAAAAAAAAAATCAAAGCTAAACATTCGACTGGCGACGCCGGAGAAAATGAGAGGAGGGATTTAATTCTGCTGTCGCTACCTGACTCACGGGGAGTTAATTCTTCGTCTCCGGCTGTGCTGCGGAGGGGGCAGAGGAAACCCGAGGAGAGGCAGGACAGCATCGAGTTGTCGTGGGGGTCCTGAGAGAGACCGACGGCGCGGGGGTCGTCGGCGCGCACGACGGGGAGGAACGCGGCATCGACTGCGATCTGCTTGTTAATGCCTGACAGAAAAACGTGAGACAATCAGAACCAGAATTAGTGGGTGAGAACGAACACACCGGAAAGTAAAAGATCTACCTTAACAATAGCTACAATAATCCTAGGGCTGAAATGACTAATCATGATTAATTGGTTATTCAGATAATTGTCAACTAATTTAGTCATTGATTAGTCGTTAACTGGAGTATACAGACTCAAAAAAGGCCAAAACAAAACATATTCAGAGCAGTAATCAAGCCAAAATTGTAGCAGAAATATATACATTTTGAATTTAAATTAAAAAATCTTTGTCTACATGTTTTATTGCACTTTACACAATAAAAATGTTCATTTTCTTACTTAAAGGAATTCAATTTTTAGTTTGTTTGAATCTTTTAATGTATTTCTAACACTGTATAAAAAAGGTGGTTATGTGACAAATCTGCAGCATGTGCCGTTTATTATTTATGATTAATCGTCTGAATAATCAATAGAAGAACTACAATAATTGGTAGTTGCAGCCCCAATGAACTCTGTCATTTTCTTAAGGTCACACAGACCTCTGACTGCTGACAGTAGTTTCCCTCCCTCAGTGTGACTCACTGATGACAAGCATCACAACACAAACATAAAGATCAGTTCGCAGCCTTTGTTCTGGTTATAAAAAAAAAAAAAAATAGAAAAACATTTTTGTCTACCAAAAGAAAAACAGAAACATTTTCAGAGTGATTCATAGTAGGTGAAATGACGGGAGCAGGACGGAGTGACTCTGCTCTCACCCAGTATGGTCAGCTGATAATGCCCCGGGCTGGGAGTGTGCGGTGGCGCGGCGGCGGCGGCCGCCTGCGGCGTCCAGCGCGTCGGCTGAAGGTTGCTCCACCGCAGCAGGGCGCTCTTCTCGTCGAAGGTGAACCTGCGAGAGACGCTGTCCTGATGCAGGCCGCCGTGACGCAAATGCTCCGTGATTTCTTCTCGCTGCTTTGACCAGCTGCTGCTCTCCCAGGACGAAGCAGCGGAGTCTAGTGGGACACACACATTACAGCGAGACCCGCACACACACACACACACACACACACACACGCACACACACACAGCAGCAAAAATGAAGCAGTGAGTCGCTCACCTTGACATTCCTGCTGCTCATATGCCGAGGCCGACTCCTCTTCTTCCTGCTCTTCTCTTTCTTTCGTGTTTTTGTATTTCAGCCTTCTGGGAGCAAAGAAGCTAAGAATGGTTGTAACTTTTAACTAACAGAGAAATGCTCCTGGTTGCAGCTTAATTACCTTTTAGCGGGGCTGCTGGCACAATTTAAGGAAGAGGGCACGGCTTTACTATAAAACACGACGACGTCAAATTTACAATTACCGATTAATTATTCAGCTCACAAGCATAAAAAAAATTAGGAATCAAATCCAACCTGAGTTGATTTGTCCTTTTCCTTGTGTTAGCTTTGCTCCTGTCAGAAGAGGGAGACATCAGACAGTCTGCAGGATCTTTATGTGTGTCTGATGAATAATCCTGGGGCTCATTTGAAACCTGAAATGAACAGCAGCAAACGTCTTTAACCATTTCTTTTGTTACCATTACTGAAAATACACTTCAAAATAAAAATCTCTTCCCTTCTTTGGGTCATTTCTGTAGCGGATTGCCGTGATCTCGCCCTGAATTGCCAATTTTTTATGCTCCCTGTACTGAAGGCTCTCTAGCTCCCTCTTCAGGTCAGACGCAGCAACCAAAGGAACTTGGCCTTAAATAAAAGAACGGCATAAAGCACAAATCTGCACCATAACTGCCAACGCCTTTAAAATCAATAAATGAATGACTCAAATCACCTGACGTATCCGTCGCCGACTGTGAAAATCTCCTTGGGGGAGGAGGGTAACAATAATGGCCGCCGACGGCGGTTTTTTGGAGGACAACGTTGTCCTTCAGAGTCTTGGTCCACTGGATGAAGCTCTTCACTCTGGGGTCACTCACGTATGGCTGGCCCTTGTGGTAACCTGTTGCAGACCCACACAGCTTTAATCCTGCCATCCTTCTCCGGCCACACTGTCACGTGAAAACACCAACCTGTGATGAAGATCTCGGTTTCACAGCTGCTTGTGAGGTAGGGCAAAGACCCTTCCACCTGACACACCCTCATCTGAGTGCAAACAAGGTAGGTCACTGTGGAAGACAAGGCAGAGATGAGACAGCAGCCAAATGCAGGGCCTTGTTGTTTAGTGTATTGGTTTATAATTATTGGGAAGACAAATACATTTCCACATTTATACTCCAAACTACTTTGCAGCGCCAGTTCCTACATGAACTTTTAAGCTCTTGTCCACAGTGAGGAGGTGTGGTGTCTTGCTTTTGATTTTTATTTTTATTTTTTTAGATAATTTGTGTCATATTATAGTGTCACAACATGGTGACAGTTTTACTGAATATGTAAAAAACAAAACATGACTTGCTTGGACAGATTTGATTGAAGATTTCAGGTTGCGACGAGGAGAAAAGTTCCAGGATAAAAGGCCGGTCAGACGTTCCATCCACCGAATGAACCCAGCGATACGTCCAGTATTTCTCTGGAGCTAAAAGTTAAAGCACAACAATCGCTACATGACAGTAAAAGTCAAATTACAGAGGCTTTCACCCAGT